CTATCTAAAAGTTATATTAAGAGCTAAAACTTTCAGAGAATTGTTTTTATCAATTTGGAACCATTTGAGCCCCTGGGAGCAAGGAAATTCGAAAATGACCATTTTAAGGACCACCCTAATATATATAATATATATATAATATATATATATATATATATATATATATAAAATTATTAGGTATGTATTATAATAAAAAATATTATTTATAGAACTAAATAGAACAGAAATAAATCAATACATAAACACTAAATTTTATGGGTACTTTTTCAAAATAAATATTACAATTTAAAAATTTTACAAGAAAATTAATTAATTCCAATATTAGATCTAGATAGAATAAAAAATAAGATTTACATATTACAGCTTTGTGGTACAAAATAAACATTGAGAACTTTTTTGAACTTTACTCTAAAAAATATATTTTGCAGGCTAGATTAATTTTATTCAATTTTAAAATTATTAATTTTTCTAACATAATTTTAATAATTAAATCATTTGGAAATGTGATATAAAATAGAGTCGATAAGACAGTACAAACTTGTATTTCTAATATATTTTTCATACATATCTCTTTTAAATGACAAATACTATTATTAACTTGGTATATTAAACAAAATTGTGAATTTTTAATAATTTACCTGAATTTTCATCATACAATTTTCAAATTTGAATCCCACTTGTTCACTTTTCATATTTGATTTTACTCAGAATAAAGAATCTTATCAGAATTGTACAATATTATATCTTATACTCATAAAAAGTCTTGATGAAATATATTTTGAGTAAATTAATTAATAAATTAATTTTAGTGAAGTTCCACACCTAAAAGTATTAATATCATTTTTACTTTTATAATATTACTTATATGTATATATATACTTTTATAATATTATATATATACACCTAAGTCTGTTTTTACACGGAGATTGGTTCCAGAAAAAACCGTGTAAAAAAGAAAACGTGTAAAAAAAGACATTGATCTTATACAAAATGGGTGATTTGTTCCTAATCTCTAAAACCTATTAAAATTAGTGAAAAACAAGAATTTTAGGGTATTCCCCTAAATTAGTGCTATTCACATTTGCTTTGACCAGTAAAAATTGTTTGTACGCGCTAAAGGGGAATTCACTCAAAACTTTAAGCTAGTGTTCGCAAACTATCGATACTATCGATGGTTTCAGACTTTTTTTCTCTCATAAATACTTTTTTGTGATATGAACATACTTCGCAAAAATTAAATTTGACAAAAAAAAATTAAGTACATAAAATTTCAAATCGTGCTAAATGGAATGAAATCGTGTAAAAAATTAAAAATATTCAATTTTCAGACCGGTGTTATATCAAAACCGTGTACAAAAAGACCGTGTAAAAACAGACTTAGGTGTATATATATATATATATATATATATATTATATATATTTATAATAAAATTTTACAATATTATATATATATATGAGTATATAATATATATGTATATATATCTATGTATATATATATATATATATATTATTTATATTTATAAATAAATTGTTTAATGTATATTAAAATAATTAATTTTTGTAATTTTTTGTAATTTTTCAATTCAAATAATTCAAATAATCAGATTGGATGCCAACTTGTCAAAAGGCATTAAATTCTGGAAAATTCCCACTTTGTGTCAATTTAACGGGTTTGCATTTCCACCTATACCAAATTATCTATCTAAACGTACATAAAAAGGGACAGGGGACATACAAAGGTAATGTATATTTATGAATCATCGTTCTTTTTATAAACTTCCTATATTTTATTTGAAATTGCATAGTGCAGTAGTAAGAACCATGCATGGCCTTGCAACCATAAAGGTTCGAGTTCTAATCCTACACTAGGCACAACTGATATCTAGCATTAGTGATATCAGTTTTCATTAAAAATTAGTGGTGTATGGCATCGTGCCTTGAGGCAAATTACTAGAAATTATCATACCAAACTAAAATTTTGAAATTGAGGAAAGTATCTGCAAGTATTAGATATAATCCATTATATACAGGCAGTCATCTTTAAGTGAACTTAGTATCCATTTTATTTGCGATTGCAATGTGTGCCCTTCGTCATCTTTATAACAAGGTTATATTGTCCTGATTGAGTAGATTAATCCAAATATGTCCACAAATCCTCCATTAAACCTAAAGAATCATAATTTGATTATACATTTACTGTGTAGCCATTCTAATTATATAAATATAGAGAAACCGATAGTTGCATTACAGATAAAAGTCGGCTTGTAACTAAAATTCTGTGCAACATTAATAAATTAGGTTAACAATTGAGAATAATTACCTCTTATGATATTTCTCCCGACTGATTGATAAAATCATAATAAACTTGAGTAAAGTGTTAGAATATAATTTAGTATATACAGGCAGTCATCTTAAAGTGAACAATTTATTTATATATTTATTATAGTATACATTTGTTAGTCTTGAATGAGTAGAGTAATCCAAATATCTCCACAAATCCTTCATTACACCCTAAACAATCATGATTTGATTATACATTCTGTGTAGTTATTCTTATTATTAATAATTATGCAAATATAGAGAAACCTTCAGTTGTCTTACTGTAGGGTAAAATATTTTTAGATGAATTAAGTAATTATTAATATAGTCACTGTATTAATGTAACAGATTTCTGTACTATTGCAGGTAATTGAACACAATTCATCAATAAATACAACATTGAAGTTGAACTGACATGACAGTTGACTGAAAAGCCTTGTGCAAAACTTTGCAAAAGTTTTTCACTAAGTTTATATAAATATTATTACGATAATGTTTTAACAGTTAATACTTACATATTAATCGGTATTTATCATATCCTGATGTATTTATTAAAATATTTGAAGTTTTGATACAAACACAATAAAGAATAAGATGTTTCGCATAGTTTCAATTATGTGGCACACTTCACTGCTATCAGTTTACATGAATTTAATTTTGACGTATAAAACTAAAAGAATAACAAAAATTTTGTGGTTATATATTTATTTGTCGCTAAGTTATACCTAAAACATTTTTTTTAAATATTCAAAATATTTTCCATGCTCTTTCCATACGAAGTTTGATTGAATTGCGCACCGTCTAAAAGTTAATATTAAGAGCTAAAACTTTCAGAGATTTTTTTCGTCTAATTTCTTTTTTATTAAAATCTTTTTTTTAAATACATTTAAATATACATCTGTTTAATTTTTTTCTAATATATGATTAATTTCATTTTATATTTATACTGCAAGTATTATATGTAATTAATATCTACATATATCAACATTAAATGAAAATGTTACAGGAATTACGAGAAATATTAGACACAATATTCGAAAGTTAAAATTCATCTATATATGCATTTGTTAACTAATAAGATGTTTATATGACATTCTATAAAGCCTGAAATATATGGATTTAACTCTGCTGATATTTTACGGTATTTTACGGCATAAGAATATTTTTTATGACTACTCGTAATTTATTTTCAGGATAAATATGCAGAATTTACAACAAAATGGTGTTCAATATATATTTTAATTGTTATTTGCGGATTAAGCTTTCTGTCGCCCTATGCCTTATGTGACCAGGCGCCCTTTTTAATAGAGAGACTTAGATGTAATTTCTAATATTGCCTAAGGAAAATTACAGTAATTGCAAAAGAATTGAAAATGAAATTTTTTACATATATTCACGTTTCAGAAACTTCTAAACATTTTGAAATACCTTAAAATAAATTTATGTGTGTGTTTTTATATATTTTTTTTAAATTACTTAGATAGAATTTCCAACATTGTGTAAGGAAAATTATAGTAATTGCAAAAGAATCGAAAATGAATTTTTTTGCATATATTCACGTTTTAAAACTTCTGAACATTTTGGAATACTTTAAAATAAATTCATGTATGTGTATGTATTATGTTCGATTCCCAATGATAAGACGTTGTGATTAGTTTTAGGCAAAGGCATGTCCAGCCTTTACAACAAGTGCAAAAATTGCTATTCAGTTTTTGAAATATCATTTCATAAAATCGCTGAAAAAAACAAGTGCATGTCAGATTGAATTTTACGGTTTATTAAAATTGCATGAAAAGCTTACAAAAAGTGTACAGATTTTTAGTCTATCTCGATAAAGGCCACAAAGACTATTCAGGCCATGTAGAAAAATTCAGACTATATCTAGGACATTTTAAGACTTTCTAAGTTCATGTTAAGACTGTACAACATCTTTCAACTATCTAGAACATTTGTTAGACTATCTAGATTCTATATAGTTATAAAACGTCCTTAGATAGTCTTAAAATACCCTAGATATCCCGGCAAATGTCCTAGGTAGTCTGAAGATATTCTAGATAGTCTTAACATGACCTTAGATAATAAAAGTTTAAAGATGTTGAAAGTCTAAAAGTCTAAAAATGTTGAAAATGTCCTAGACAATCTGAAAATATTCCAGAAAATCTTAAAATGTCCTAGATAGTCTAAATATAGACCGAAAAACTTTTCGTTAGTCTTAAATATTCTAGATAAAAATCTAGACCATCTTGAGACTATCTAGGACATTTTAAGACTGTCCAATATAGACTGAAAAACTTTTCGTTAGTCTTAAAATATTCTAGATAAAAATCTAGATTCTAGACCATCTTGAGACTATCTAGGACATTTTAAGACTGTCCAAGGACATTTTCAACATCTTTAGAATATTTATAATATTTTCATATTGTCTAGGACATGTTCAAACTATACAGAAATATTGTAGATGGCATAAAAATGTTTAGATAGTCTGGACATGTTCTATCTAATATATTTTCAGATTCTTATGAACGTTTTCAGCTTAGAAGTTTCACTTCAATAAACATAACACACTCAGTCTCTATTTAAATGGCTTGAGTTTAACTCAACCTCTAGCAAGACTAATTAGAAGTAAAGAACTTCAAAAAAACCCTCAAAGTTTACATTTACCTCTCTATTTTAATTCTCACCTCATCAGGAATATCCAACAGCACAAATACCAAATCAAATCTAGACAGAAGGGCACAGCTTAAATTAACATTTTCCTTTAAGGTTTTGGATCTGTTGTAAACGCCTTTATCAGGATTTGCAGCAGCCACGACTGCACATCTGGCTGGAAGAGAACAGACTACACCTGCTTTGGCTAGAGAGACACATTGTTGCTCCATTGCTTCGAGCAAAGCCTAGAGAAGAAATAAATAAATAAATAAATATATATATATATATATATAATATATATATATATATATAATGTATTATTTATCTCTTTATACTGATAGTTAAAATTGTTTATTCATACCGAGTGCTGTTTGGTCATTTTATCAAATTCATCAATACAGCATACACCACCATCGGCAAGTGCCAGAGCACCAGCTTCCACACCACTTGTGCTGTTTTCCTGAAGAAATACCTGATTCTGATGAAGTCTGGCCGCCAGAAGTTACACTGGCTGTGAGACCAGAAGAAGTACTCGTATTTCCACATACAAAAACACCTTAAATGAAAGAAATAACATAAATAAAAGAAATAATATTTATTACCATTAATGATAAATAAAATAAATGAATAATAAATACTAAAATAGGAGAATTAGTGGCTACAATGAGTTCAAAAATATTTCAATGTGCGTAAAATAATACAATGAGTGTAAAAGTACTACACTAATCCTGTAAAATAAAACAAAATATATTTTGTTAGAAATATCAAGGCACAAAATGATTGAAAGGAGTTAAGATATAATCTGATGGTTTGGTTATTAATATTACATATTCATCAGATATTTGAACTTCTATATTATTATTACCTCTAGGGCAACATCAGCACAAGCCTTCAACATCTGACTTTTCCCCAATCCCGGATCTCCAACTATCAAAACATGACACTCGTTTCTATTTATAAAATCTGACTCTGATGTTTTTGTAGCTCCCATTAAAGCTAGAATGAGACCAGCTTTAGGACATCTCGGCCGCAAATAAGAGGGCACAAAGAATTAACCAACAATCGA